AGAAATTTTCAATCTTACTATGCATTAGAACCACTCTGGGGTGGGCCTAGGTGTTCATTTACAAAATGGGTCAAATCTCAGCCCTAACATGGATTAACTCTGTGATCCAATTTTTTTAAACTTTCTGACCCTTGGTGTCCTTATTTGTAAAACAGAGATAATAATACTTACCTCAATGGTTGTCATGAGGATCAAATGAAATAATGTTAGTCAAGTGCCTTGTTACAGTGCTGGTGGGTGCACAATACATGATAATATGCCAATCAAGGTAACAACTGAAGTGTACATGTGCTTGGCAATTTATCACGTGCTTTATGTGAATTATTTTATCCTCAGAGTCCTTTCAGATAAGTATGTTTATTATTTGTTTGTAAGCCTAACACTCTAAGAACTGTTTTCATTTACCTGTGTTGTATTCCAATCTTTATCCTTTGGTATATGTTTTTTTATGTACTTCATAGAATATTTGTATTTCTTACTTTAGATTTTCAAAATGTTATTGACTATCACTTTTTTCTATGTTGTTTGTCATATGTCATTTTAATTACTTAATATTCTATTGAGTTGCTATTTTGTGCTTTGTCATTCTACTATTGCTGGACCTCTTCAGGCAAAGAACTGATTTCTTACTTTGAAGCTTTTGATGTATGCTGTCAAATGCCCTCCAAAACCTGTGACATATAATAGTCACATGGGGTAGTTTTTGACCTGGCTCTTATTCTCCTAATTCTCTAATTCTATTTTAATGTTAAATGGAAATTGTGTGAAATGTTCCTTAAGTTGTAGGAAAAATGGCAGTGATTTAATCAACCAATCAATCAATCATAAAAGCATTTAGAAAATGTATAAAGAATTGTATATGGAGAAGTCCAAAGTTATAGTGTGGCTAAGACAAGAAACAGTAATAGTGATAGGAAAAAAAGAAAAAAAAACCTCTAGTCTACAAAAGAACCTGTACTATAGATTTTAAAGCAGTCAATATAAATATTTAACTTGCTATATTGTATTACATGCAAGCCACTAGTAAGCAAGATAGGATGTACATAGAGAGGGGACTTCTTGCTCCCCTGCCTTCTTTAAAAGTGAGGACTAGCTCTGAATAAAAGCTATGATACAAGGTTTGTATCAGCAGACCGTCCCTTCCTCTAGGGACCTTGTACTGTGTGCTGTCTACTACCTGCCTAGTGCCCCCCAGGAGCCACTTATAAAACATGACACAGGCTGGAGACAATCAGAATCTCCCTGCCCCCCAAGATTGATTTAAGGATGCTGGTAGAGAAAATCCTTGTTCCACTGCGGCCATGAAGCTGGAAATCTGGGAAGGTGGGGCTGCTGGTGACCATTTCCCCTGGCTATATGGAGGCAATTTTGGACAGCAGGCTGAGGGCCACAAACATAGATATTTCTTTTTAAACTAAGGCCCATTTCTTCACCAATGCCTTGGCTGGTGTTCCCTCCTGCAGTCCCAGAACAGTATGATCTCTCTCTTGTACTGTTTCCCCTTACTAAAAAAGCCCTCTATCTAGTGATTCCATCTTCCTCCTCAGCTCTCATTCTCCTCCCCATTCCAGCCAAACCTCTTGAAACAATGTCTACTCTTTTCACTTTCTTATTTTTCACCTTAACCTACTCCACACAAGATTTAGCTCCCACACCTTTACTGAAACTCCTCAAAGATGACTAAGGATCTCCCCATTGCCATCTCTGCATGGGCTTCTTTGGTCCTTGTTTACTTAATCTCCCAGGATCATTTGATTTAGCTGACCAATTCCTTTCTGCTTGAAAACTTCTTGGTTGGTTTCCACAATACTTGGACACCACATCCTCCTGGTTTTTCTCTCACCTCCCTGGCTGCTGCTTCTCAACCCCCTTGCCTGTCTCTCTTCCATCTATAAATGTTAAAGTTTCTGCGGAGCTCTTTTCTAGACCCCCATTCTAGCATGCTACACTCTCTTCCAATCTTTTCCTGTAACAGAGATCTCATCCACTGTTCTAGCTTCCATTGCTGTCTGTGTACTGATGGCTCCTCAACTTATGTCTTAACCTCAGACTATACCTCTGAGCTTTACAACCACATAACTAATTGCCTACTTCAGATTTCCACTTAAATATATCAAAGATAAATCAAACCTGGCATGTTTGGAATTGAACTTTTCATCTCCCTTCGCAAATCTGCTCCTCCCCTAGTGTTTCCTAATTACTAATGGCTCTGCAATTCACACAGTTGCTCAAGCTGGATTCCTGTAAGTCAATCTTGATACTTTCCTCTTCCTCATTCTCTCCGTTCAATCCATCACCAGAACCCATCAATTCTACTTCCTAAATGCTTCTCATATCCGTATCCATCTGCTTATCTTCATCTTCATCACCACCACCTAAGTCCCAGTCACCATTTTCTTTCCCTTGAACTTCGGCAACAGCCTCCTAACTGGTTGCTCTTTCCAATCCACTCTTCGCACAGCCCTAGAGAGAGATTTTAAAACATAAACCTCATGCTGTCCTGGCCCAGCTTAACAGCCTTCAGAGACTTTCAGTTGCCTGTGAATAATGTCCAAAGACTTTCCCATGAAGTCCTGTCAGTTTTGGACCCTGACCCACATTTTCAGGCTCATGTCAACCACTCTCCCCTCTCCTTTCTTGGCTCCAGCCACATGGAGTCTTCCCTGTTCCCCAAACAAGTCAAACTGTCCTTTTTCTCAGGAACCCTGAATAAGCTGATCCTTCAGAATACTTCCTCAGGGGCCCTTCTCTGACCACCCCCTGCAGTACATCCATTGTCCCATCACACCGTAGGCTTTTCCTTCACTGCCCTCTCCACATGTGTGATCTATTTGTTGTTTCTCTTCCCTGTGGGACTGTAAACCCTAGGAGGGCAGAGACCAAGGCTGTCCTGCTCATTGCTTTGTCACCACTGCCCAGGTTTGTCTGGTCTGACAGGGCAAAGATAATCTGTTTCCCTCATATCCCAACCCCAGGGCTGCCCACCATTTGGAGACTGTTGTTTTAATGCCAAAGCCCAACAATAGCAAACCCTTCAGTGGTTCTTAAAGCTAGAGTCCCACTCCTTGGAGGAGAGAGTGACAGAGTTGACCCAGATGGTCTCCTTGACCTTGGAGCAGAAGAGCCAGACAGGAGCTCCCTGGATGTTTGGGAGCTTGCTTTTTCAAGCCCCGCCTAAAGCTAAGGTGTCATTAGAGTGATGTGCTGCATCCCTTCCCTGTTCTCTTCAGGAAGTTTTAGTATTTTAAGACAGTCCCTCCCCCACAGGCCCATTGTTCTTATTTGTTTTCATTCCATAGTGTGCCTCCATTCACTCATGAAATTGTTGAGAACCTACTCAGTGTGAGAGTCTCAAACAGGGCACTGTGGGGAGGGGGCTAGAAAGACTCATCTGCTTCCAAGGAAACCTGAATAGCCAGACAGAAAGTAATTAAGCATCTTAAGAATGGCCTAGGCTTTATAGGAGACAAATTGGTTGTGGCTGGCCCTTAGGCAGCGAGCTTTGCAACGAAGCAGAGTGACTGAAAGAGGACAAAAACCGCTGGGGCCACGAGTGGGAAGGAACAGCAGGCTGCCCACTCTGACTCGCAGACACGGTTAACAACCTGGGGTGTGCCCTGAAGTGGCGATTTTTTTCGGCACACATGTATCAGGGGCAGTGTGTGTGAATGTCTTCTCCCTTTGCAGTGCAAGGCTGGGTGGATCAGAAACCACCCCACAAAGGAAGAGTCTTATTTCGTGTCGGCCATGTGTGTCTTCAGAACCGACCTTTCCTGCTCTTTGTGAAACAAGACACGCCTCTCGGAGGAAGGAGGAGGACAGGATTTCCATCATTACTACTGCCCTATTAAAAAAAAAAAAAAAAATGAAAACGTGTAATTACTCTCTGCAGGAAAGGCGCACAAACAGGATGGGCCCGAGTTGAACCCGGGATGAGCCATCCCTGTTCAGATTAGGAAAAGGAACCTCCCCACCGGGCGCCCACCTCCTGCTAGGGCCTCTCCCAGATGGCCAGGCAGGGTCGTCAGCCCACCTTTTAGAGTGGGAGGGAGGGCACGGGCGACTCCACGTCGCTCTGGTTCCCTTGTTCCTCATCCTCCTCCTTCCTGTCTTCCAGCCCTCGCCGGGCCTGTCGCCCATGCCTCAGGTGTTTGCTCCAGCTAGGCCACGAGCTCTTCCCTTTTTGGCCTACACCTGGGGTGGCCTCCAGCGGGAAGCACGCCGCCAGCGCCGGTACAGCAGGGAGCGCGCGCAGAGCAGGGCGAGGAGGCAGGCGCCGGGCTGTACCGCGCGGCGTGCGCCTGGCCACTGACCCACCGCAGGGCTGGCGGGACTTGGGACTGCACGCCACGCCCCCGGGGTTCAAAAGGTGCGGGACCCCGAGCAGGGTTTCGGTGAACTTGGAGGCTGGCGGTGCGAAGCTCCTGTCCGGGATGCGGCGGCAGCTGCTTCCTGGTTTGAAGCTCACCGGGTGGGGGAGAGCGTGAGCCCGCGGAGGCGGGGGCAGGAGGAGAAGCAGGAGGAGGCGGGGGCGAAAGACGCTTGGGGCTGGAGCTAACCGGACGGGTCGCTCCGGCTCTCCGGAGAGAGGAGCCTCCCGGCTCTGGAGAAGGGGCGAGTCTTGTTCGAGCCCCCGGGAAGTGCCGAGCGTTCGAAAGGAACAGTCGGGCTCACCCGGCCCGCTGCTAGCTCGGCGCCGGGCTCCCCTCCTTTCCACCTCGCGAGGGAGGGCGGGAGGGAGGGAAGGAGGGGAGGGGAAGGTCCCGCGGAGAAGGCAGAATGGCCCGGCAAGGGGTGCTTGGGCGCTGCTTTTCCCAGGAGCTGACTCCACTCTTGCGGCTGCCGCGAGGGCTGGCCTGAGCAGGGGCTCCAGGCTCTCCCGCTGCGAGCCAGCGCGGCCCCCCGGGGCCGGGGCAGTGGCGCCGGCATGTCGTCTGGCACCATGAAGTTCAATGGCTACTTGAGGGTCCGCATCGGCGAAGCCGTGGGGCTGCAGCCCACTCGCTGGTCCCTGCGCCACTCGCTCTTCAAGAAGGGATACCAGCTGCTGGATCCCTACCTGACAGTGAGTGTGGACCAGGTGCGTGTGGGCCAGACCAGCACCAAGCAAAAGACCAACAAACCCACGTACAATGAGGAGTTCTGCGCCAACGTCACTGACGGCGGCCACCTGGAGCTGGCCGTCTTCCACGAGACACCCCTGGGCTACGACCACTTCGTGGCCAACTGCACCCTGCAATTCCACGAGCTGCTGCGCACCGCCGGCGCCTCGGATACCTTCGAGGGCTGGGTGAGTAGCTATGACCCTTTCTGGCTGTGTCCACTTGATCCCCTCTCAACCATCTGTTTGTTAAAACTTGCTGGGGTCCCGCTTTCCATCATCCGAGCTCCGCGGTGGAGGGAATTCCCTTCCGACTTTGGTCCTTGCCCAGGTGACCACGACACGGATGATGCGGCCGCGGTAGGTGTGTGAAGGCGCAGGTGTGTCTCCAGGAGGCCAGCCTGGATAGGTCCCCTTTTGGGATGGCAGGTTGGACTAACGGGAATTCAGGGCGGGGGCCGTCAGCCCCCATCCACCTAGACTCTTGGTAAGGCTCCCCAATTTCGGCACGCGGTTAACACTCAGGGAAGGCAAGCAAGGTATGATAGGAAAGACTTGATTAGGGTAACGTGCTTTAAACATTTCTTAGGGGAAAGCCATACATTCTCGCAAGTATTATTCATAGTGTTTATGGATGCGTGTTGGTTCAGCGTCTCAGACGTGCACACGTGTTTCGGCATGCAGATCTATTACATCCCAGAGGTACATAACCTACACTGGCGGGGATCGGAGTACCTGGGTCTGCACGTTAGCAACGTTTTATTGTTTAGCAGTTTTCCAAGGAGATGAGGTTTACATGTGTTTGCAAGTAACGCCACTAGTTCGGTCTCAGCCTGGGAGATGTGAGTCCTGAATTATGCGTTTCTGCTGCTTTTGGTTGAGAGCTAGAGGAGCTCCTCAGTAGTTTGTGAATCTCCTCCACACCTGCTGGTGTTTCTGTGTATTGACAAGTAGTTACCCGCAACTTCTCACTTGCCTCTACTTTTCACATAGTTCTCATGAGGCAACACTGCTGCTGTAAATAAATTAAAATTTCTAGAGCACTCTCCACAGTGCGAAAACGCTTTTGCTTCTTAATCCTCATGCTATCTTTGTGGGGCAGGTGTTATCTTTCACACTTTTGTATGATGAAATAATAATGATAATGAAGTGGTCTGGTTTGGCAAAATGAAGAAAGCTGTTTGAAGGCTCTCAGGAGTTTAATGTTTAAGTTTTGGAGGATGTCAGTTTTGAACCCAGGATGTGTATCAGTATTGAAAACCTGTTTGAAATCAACAAGTGGTGGAATCAGATGGGCAGTAATAAAGACACATTTAGGTAGTTTATACTTTGAGGAATTGATAATTTTACTGTAGATTCTCTAAAATTACAGATGGTTTGTGGGCCTATCCTTTTCTTTTAAATAGAAGTAAGAAAAATCCATAACGACTGTTTAACCATATCATCAAATTATATTTTAATTTCCCTTCAGCCTAACTTACTTTATGGAATTTAAAAGTTTACGAGAGAGAAATGTCTAAAACACAGCTAGAGATTGATATTTTATCCCGTGAATTTCTGGATAGGAAATAAAGATGAGCCTAGGAATCCGAATGAAATTATCGAGTGGTTGATTAAGAGTTAGGTTGAGTAAAGCTTTAGAGGTCCTGAAGGATGATGATGCAGACTGGTCACTGTCCATTAGAGGCTTGTCTTCCCAGAGAGAGGCTAGATGGACCCTTCTCACTCCTATTCTGCACATTTGAATCACTCTGGGACCTTTTAAAACTCACTACTTTGTAAAGACTCTAGATAGGAATTTGTGGCTGTGGGAACCAGCATCATGTCAGTACTTTTAGGCTTCCCAGGCGATTCAATGTGCAGTTAAGGTTGAGAACCTGTTGCCTAAATGAAGAGATGAGAACTAGAAGAAGCATACGTGCAGGAATATTCAGGTTACTTGACAAGGTGTAGGTATGCAGAGCTGCTTGTTGTCCCAGTGGATGAACAAAGATTTAAATGTAAATTAAATTTCTATGTCTATAATTGCCTGAATTAATTATATGTGTTTAATGTAATTCATTGATGGTGTTTTTCAGTGGTAGGATAGGTCAGCATTTAAATGACCTTGAAATCAGTCATGTGAAATGCATTTATATTCAATTAGGGAGGGCAGAGATTTTTTTTAAAGTCCTAGGTATTTTCAACCAGCCTTAAGGATAAAATAGAATGGGTAGAGTGTTGTTTTTGTTTGTCAGTTTTTAAGAAAAATAATCTCAAGAAAATATTTGGCGATATATGGCATGCTTGTTTTTTTAATTGATCCTTTATAGATCTAAAGGTGATTCTGAAATTTAGAATTACAAAAATACTTATTCATCATTAATATATTAAATTGAAATGTGTGGTTTATCTAGACAGTTACAAATATAATAATTGAATTTACTCCATGATAAATTTGTGTTTCAATTGGAATTACCAATTGCTGAACTTTAAAAAACCTAATGACTTAGTTTTTACTGGATCACATAAAGAGACAAAAACAGAAGATACGTTTATCATTAGAGTAAAACAAAAATGTTATGCTATCTGGCTTAATGTACTTTCTAAGTATCAAGAAGAGAATTATTTACATTGATTTTAGTACCAGTTTTGTCAATATTACTTTCTAAGCTGGATGAGAGAATGGGTCAGATCTATTTTATGCAGTATATTCCTAATACCAAAACAGTGCCTGACATGGATTAGACAATCAAATATTTTTTTTTGACTGTACATATTTAATCTACATAAAACCTAAGGAGGTGGAGATACAGCTAAAGAAGTTCTTAAATGAAAATTCAGTGTTAAGTACTTAAATGAGAAAAGATCTTGAAGACCTAAGTTTCCACCTGAAAGTAGAAGAGCAAATTGAACCAAAAGTAAAAAAATTGTAAAGATAGCAGAAGGCAATGAAGTAGAAAACAGAAACGATAACTGGTTTTGAAAAAAAATTAACAAAATTGATAAGCCTCAAGCCAGAATGATCAAGGAAAAAAAAAGAGAGAGAAGACACAAATTACCAATATTAGAAATGAGAGAGAACATTACTATGGGTCCTACAGACGTTAAAAAGAGGAAATGGTCTACAGCCGTGCTACCCTGAACAGGCCCGATCCCGTCTGATCTCAGAAGCTAAGCAGGGTCAGGCCTGTTTAGTACTTGGATGGGAGACCACCTAGGAAGACCAGGTGCTGTAGGCATAAAAAATTAAAAATAAGGGATTAAGCTGACAAAGTCCTTGCAATCTGTGAGGTCAACCAAGGGTTGCCTTGCTTAAAAAAAATAAATAAATAAATACAATAAATAAAAGAAATATTATGAACAATTTTATGTCAGTAAATTCCACAGTTTAGATGAAATGAACATATCCCTTAAAAGATATAAACTACCAAAACTCACTCAAATAACTTGAATAACTGTCTATTAAGGTAATTGAATGTGTAGTTAAAAACCCTCTACAGTGTAAACTCAAGGTCCTGATGACTTTACTGGTGAATTTTGTCATACATTTAAGGAAGAAATGTTGCCAACTCTACCCAAACTATTTCAGAAAATAGAAGGAAAAACATGTCAACTTATTCCATGAGGCCAGCGTTACCCTTATACCAAAACCTGATTAAAACATTACAAAAACAAAAACAAACAAAAACCAAAATAAAACAAAACTACAGACCAGTGCTCTTTGTGAACACAGATATAATAAAAATTCTTAAATCTTAGCAAATCAAATCCAACAACATAGCAATTGGAAGTACATCATAACTATATTGGGTTTATAACAAGGACGGCAAGGTTGATTTAACATTTAAAAAACCAATTAGTGCAATTCTTTATATTAGCAGAATAAAAAAGGAGATTCATATGATCATCTCAATCATATATAAAATGATCTACAAAAAAATCAATAAATTGAACTTTATCAAAATTAACTATTGTTTTTCAAAAGACACTTAGAAAATGAAAACAGAAGCCACAGACTGGGAGAAAATATTTGCAACATGTAAATCAGACAAAAGAGTTGTAACATGAATATATAAAAGAATTCTTACAACTCAGTAGTGATGAGAAAAATACCCAATTTAAAATGGTCCAAAGATTTGAATAGGACCATCGTGATAAATTACACATTAAAAGATGCTCAACATCATTAGTCATCAAGGAAATGTAAATTAAAACCAAAACCCACTGGAAAGGCTAAAATTAAAAAGAGTGACCAAACCAAGTTTTGGTGAAGGAGTGGAGCAACTGGAACTCTCATATCCTACTGTGAGGAATATAAAATCATACGGTCATGTTGAAAACATTTTGGCAGTGTCTTAAAATGTTACACATATACCTGCTGCATGACCTAGCTACTCTTAAGTATTTACCAGAGAAATGAAAGCATTTATACAAAGACATGTGCACAAATGTTCGTAGCAGCTTTATTTATAATAGCCCCCAAATTAGAAATAACTCAAATGTCAGTAAAATGGTGACTGTTTAAACAAATTGTGTATCCATACAGTGGAATACTGAATAATAAAAAGTGATGAACTATTGATACATGCAACAATACCGATAAATCTCAAAATAATTACAGTGAGTGAAAGAAGCCAGACAAAAAGGAGTACACACTGTATTCAAAATTACAGAAAATGAAAACTTGTTTGTAGTGGCAGGAAGCATATCAGTGCATGCCTGGAACTGGAAGGGTGAGGATGAGGGTGGGATGGATTACAAAGGAAGCATAAGGAAACTTCTGAAGGAGATGAAAATACTCACTGTTTTGATTTAGGAGATCATTTCACAGTTATATACATATGCCTAAGCTCATCACATAGTTCATTTTAAGTATCTGCATGTTATTGTGTAACAATTATACTTCAGGCTGTGGGGAAAAAAACTGAGTTATTATTATTCCTATTTTACGAAAATGATTTGTTAAATAAGTGACCGAATTAGACTTAAGCCGAGGCTGACTCGAAAACAACATTGCCTCTTTACTGCAGAGCATAAAAAAAAATTAAAGATAGTTTCTGATTTTTGAACAGTCTCATTTTCTAAATTATCACTGTCGGTTTTTTTCTGTTTCTTCTAGAAATTGTTTATTTCGCATAATTTCTTGGACTTCTGAAAACCAAAAGTTGGTCTAAATTAGAACCTTATTTCCATCTTTCATGTTTGCT